TAGAAGCAGTTGAACCACTGCCAGAGCTAGCAGTAGCTGTAGCATTAGCAGCAGTATTAGTACTAGTAACTGTACCACCACTAGAAACTGTACTACTACTAGCAACTGTATTACTAGTGAGTCTATTACTAGTGCCAGTGGTCTGTAGTACAGTAGTTGATGGTGTAGTTGATGTTGATCTGGTATGTATTGTTGATGCTGTTAATGTACCAATACTAGAAGCAATAGTCTTGATATTAGTAACCAATGTTGATCTACTAAGGTGAGGTGATGTTGAACTGGGATGATCAGGTGATGTGGTTATTGATGTTGATATAACATGATGAGGTGATGTTGATGAACTAGCATAAGGTGATGTGGGTGTACTGGAATTAGAAGGTGGTGTACCAACTACATGAAACCCAATAATACACAAGTTTCATTGTAACTGTAAGCATACCATATATTATAACATAAGGTGCATATCCAATAATGTTTTGAGTTATAATAATAACAGTGTAGTATTGATTAGTAAGAGATAATCCAGTAATAGTAGCATTAGTAGTATTTGCATAATATATTTCATACATATCATTATTAAATGGATCTATACCTACTACAACGTAATGTCCTACTGGAGGATAATGTAGTGTAGGATCCTATTGTAATATAAGAATAGCAATAATAATAATAATAATGTCTAAACATGCCTGAGTGATATTCCACCATATTGTAATACTATCATTTGATATCTGATCCCAACTAATATTAACAACTTGAGCTGGTACTATAAGAAATACAATGAGTGTGTGTGTGTATAGTACTTACCATTCCATATATACTGTATTAATGATGAAGGAGGTCCTTCTCTTCCAATAGTATCAATGGGAATAATAATAAATGTATAATTAGTACCAATAATAAGATCATTAATTGTTATATCAGTGTTGTTAGTAGTCCTGGGTCCATTAAGAGTGTTGTTACTAATAATAGTAACAGTATAGTGGTCTATACATTGATCTGATGGTGTATTCCAAGTAATTAATAATGTATCGTTAGTGATAGGAGTAACAGTTACATTACTAACTGCTTTTTGATCTGGTACATCTATTTATTGTTATGTATACCAAATTATAATAAAATCAATAATAAATTACCTTTTACATTAATAGTTAATACAGCATAAGATGATCCTCCATCACCTGAACACTCAATTGTAGTTCCGTCCAGTTGTGTTGATACTGATTCATTGGTAGCAGTGCTTACAAATAATCCATTATTTGCTGCTGTAGCTACATAAAAGCTACCAACTCTCATTAGAGGAGTGTTACTGGTTACATGAATCTCAGCACTGTTTCCTAGTAGCCTCCAGATAATTCCATCAAGATTAGCTGTACAAGTGAACACTAATCTACCACCAGGACAAACAGGAGCAGAGTTTGGAGGAACAGTCTGTACCAATGATCCTATATACATGCAATTTATACTATCTGTGTACTACATTGGTGATAGACTTACCAGATACAGCAAGACTCATACACCCAGTCAACACAAGACACCAGTAGATACCAGCAGTAGTAGCAGCCATTAGTGTATGTCAGTTATAAAATAAAAGCTTTTGTTTGTATAGTCCAATAGGTCAGTTATTAATGGTGCTGCCAAACCCACACCTTCAGCAGTGGTGAGTGGGTGAATGTTTTTTTATAAAAAATATAATAATTGCCATAACACTGCATGTACATATGCAACATAAGGACATCAATATGTATCAGAAATTGTAATAAAAATTTGGGGTGATTCCCAAGCCATTTTTTGGAAAAAACCACAGGCTTTAGCCTTGGGTGTTTTCAAAATTTTGGTGTTTTTTAAAAATGGCTGTAACTTGAAAAATTGAAATCGGAATCAGCCCAAACTTTCTACAAAGCATAGGACATCAATCAATTTATGATTATTTATATAAACTTAACACCAATTACCAATGGCATAGTGCCAAGTCATAATCCTCACACTTCAGCACCCACAGTGTGATTGGTGTCAAATCCTGACACTACAGGATCCTTACTCCATGATGAGTGTATTCCTTCATCTGTTGCTCCTTGTTCCTTCTGTTGGTTAGTACTATTAGCCTCATTCCATGATGAATTAATATTGTCTACTCCACTTCACAGTTAGTGTTAGTTTATCACTGACAAGTGGTGAGTTATGTGAAGGAGCTGTTGCCACTTGGACCTGTGTTGTTAATAATTCTTACGATGGGTTTCGTAGC